CTACACACACACACACACACACACACAAGTTGGCCCCATAGCGAGTGAAGACCCCGGATGTACGTAGAAGGTCAAGTACTTTCCGAAAGGAGACCTCAACTAGACTTTTATTGAATTTTCCTCAGTTTCCCACGAGCCGTTCAGTCACGAACACACAGACAAATGATGAGCTCTCTGACCTGTTCTTTCAAACTGTTTTGTTTCTTGTAGTCAACATATGTTAAAACGCCGGGGAAAACTTGAAGTTTAGCTTCATATACCTTTGCGAATATTATTATTTGCACGCACAAGTGCAGACCTCTCGTTGTTTCGTCAATAGTGGCTAGTTTCCGTTTTCTCTTTATCCTCATTTTGACAAATTCTATTTATAGCCTTTAAGTTTTTACCAAAGTCACAGATATAACACTATCATTGACTTAGAAAATGTGTCTTGTGATTGGGCTAACATTTCTATCAATGTTAATAATGTACCGATCTAGATTCTCTAGCTGTGAATTTATTATTGTGTCACGTGAATGTGAAATTCTCATCATCCGAACAAAATGGTAATTGAAGTTCCCCTGCTTCATAGAATCTTGATAGTCACAGCACTATCTGCACAAACTGTCTATACACTAGTTGTTTCCTTTCTCTTTCTCGCAGGACAAAGAAGGCCGCACAGCTCTACATTACTGTGAAGGAATGTTGAACTGGCCTGTGCTGAGGGTTTTACTGCAGGCAGGAGCCTGTCCCAATGCCGTGGACAAAGCGGGGAACTGTGTGTTGTCTCGCTTATCTGACACTCTGATGACAGGGAAACCCCACGTAAGGCCTGGGTAAGCCATTAAGGAGAAGAGAACAGCGTCTACTATTACTGTATAGACGTCTATACAGTGGGCATTGATAGAAGGGAATCAGATTGAACCAACACCTACTGTATGGACGAACGAACTACCAGCTTATTGGTTATGCTTTGGGGATTCCCATTTGTATTTATCCGTTCAGCTTTGAACTCAGGACAATACTGAACACCAAACGCACAGATTTGGAAAAAATGGAATACGTAGAATAATAGCTCAGTTATGTGGGTCAATTTATTACGATGCATAACGATCAAAACCGACAGTTATAGTTGTATACAAATGCTTAATTTCAAAATCATGAAAATCTGGCTCTGTCATGTTCTTAAAGAATCGAGGTTTCATGCATACTGTCCCATTCAACGCACAACAGTTCTTTCAAATGCATAATATATACTCCAGAAATCTGACAAAGCACACATACAAAAAAGATAATCACCGTAGTTACAGGTAGATCTAGCACTTGCTGTTAACAGAAGAATTAAACTACATGTAGTAAGTAAAATGAGATTAAAAATAATTAAATATTTTAAAACCAGAAAATGATGATGATGATGATGATGATGATGATGATGATGATGATGATGATGATGAT